AATAGGTAAATCCAATTATCAAATCATCAAAAATTATTATTATTCTCTACTTTCATCTCAAAATATGCTGGCAACGACGACAACGACAACGACGAAGATCATGTCTAGAGAGAAAGAGAGAGAGAGAGAAGGATAGAGAGAGAGAAAGAGATTTCTCCTTCAATCCACCACCTTTATCCAATTACACGCAAAAAACCATTATGTTGCAACTTTGGGAGAACAAAAAAGGGATTAAAAATGAAAAAATGAACAGCTAACAATTTGAAAATTTAATAAGAAAATAATAATATCGACACAAGCAAAGGGGGTGGGGTGGTATAACAAGAAAAATCTTAAAATTAACGTTCTAATATGGCATATTTGGTATTGGAACATATGACATGCATATGCGTGCTCTTAGAAACAACAAAAGAAATTTATTTTCATTTATTATTTCTTCATTAAACTTCTAAAGTAAACGTCAAACAACTACAATCATATTTCATTACATTTATATGCAAATTTCTATTTTTTCTATCTAAGAATCATGTTCATCTATGCTGCTATTGTGACCGTAATTGGCATTACACTCAATATCCTTCTCATCTATACGATGACGAAAGTTAAAACGAAAATGTTTGGAGTTGTTCAACGAATATTCTATATTATGGCTGTTGTTAACATCTTCAGTATGATTTCCTATTTTGGCTTAATACCTGTAAGTTTCATCTCTTTCATTTCATATATATAGATATTCTCATCGTGGCAAGACCAATAAACATGTTATCTGTTTATGATGTTTCATTTTTCTTTTGTTGTTTTTCAGGTATTATATTGCTTCGAAGGACATATACTACTAATATCTCATAATTTCAATGAAATTCCATTCATTTCCAATTTGTTAATTAAAAATATTTTTATATCAAATATCTTAAACGTTCACTGTCTATCACAATGTTATTTCTATCGATATCTCCTTATGAGCAGGTAATAGCGTTATTCGTCATTTGGGGGATTTGGGATTTTAATTTGTACATTGTAGGGAGAAACTGCCTTATTACTAGTTTGTTAGGGTTGATTAAGTCATATCCGTATCTGGTGCGACTTTGTTGAAGGAAAGGTGATTGGGTGAGGGAGGAGGGACAGTTTGGGATTTAATCTGTACTGTTAGAAGTAACACCTGTCTTATTACTAGTTTCTAGGCTTCATTAAATCATATCCGTATCTGGTGTGACTTTGTTGAAGGAGAGGTGATCGGGTGAGGGAGGAGGGAGATTTTGGAATTTGGTCTTTATATCTACTCACGATCGCTATACCTTATTACTAGTTTGTTAGGGTTCATTAAGTCATATCCGTATCTGGTGCGACTTTGTTGAAGGAGAGGTGATGAAGAAAGCATAGTTGAACGAACGAGCGGTACTACGAGCTAAATTCAATCAGATTAAGTATCTTATTAAATAAGAGAGCTCAAGAAGTTCATGAGTTAGAAGATCACCATGAGAAGTGTCTAGAGATTGATCTCGACTATGCACGTACATATGAAATGCTTTGTTTTAGAAAATCTTTATATAACTTCTTCGTTACGATTAAAGCTGTGATTCTGAATATAACGTCTGTGACACTGTGGACAGCTCTGTCCGTCTTTGCAGTATCCATTGTCTTTCACCCAACAATTGAAACTTTGGATTATCTAGAGCAGTTGGAACCGTTACAGCGATTTCATCTGAAGCAGAACTTGAAGTTTGCTGCTTCTCTCAAAGTATCCTCAATATCCATCTAACTGATCTCTAAGTTTCTGATGTTCAGGATATTGTTGGTGATTATATACGAATAATAAATTTCTTCGTATACTTTGCTAGCTTGACTGTTCCAATTTTCATTATATTCTTCTGTGCTCAACGAATTTTACGAAATTTGGAAAATTTGAAGAAAGATCAAACTCTCTCACAAAGTACAATTACTGCTCATGAACGTCTGTTGCGTGTACTGCTCATACAGGTAATTGTCATCTTCTAACCATCAATCAATATATATATATATATATATATATTTATAATATATAATATAGACATTCTTACCTGTTGTATCATTTCTAATTCCAAGTGCCGGTTTGGGATTTCTACTCGTCAGTCAAGTAACTCCACCTGAACTATTCACATTCTCAATAGCATGTCTCTTTCCTATATCTATAACACTATATCCTATTTCAATTGTCTATTTCGTAGATCATTACAGAAAATTTGTTTTTCAACTTTTATTTTGTAAAAAATCATAATAAATAAAGCATTTTTTATATTATTATTATTATATGAAATGAGAGACCCGTGTTTCAGTTTGAAGATTGTTGTCCAACAATCACATACAAACGCCGCTGATATTTCGATAGAATGTTGGACATTTCCAATCTATAATATTATTTTTTATTATTATCTATATCATATAGTTAATGTATAGTTATGTTCTTTTTATATATATACTTACAGCATATCTTATGGAATTGTACTTGTGTCAGCCGACATGTGCACATGCCTCTTACACAGATTGCTTGACCGGTGCAGTCCTCGGAGTTCTTACATCCAGTATCACCAGCATACAATTCTTAAATAGATGTTATTCATAACTATGCTAATTTATATGTATAGTTTATACTTCTAGTTGTTATATCAGTTTGTCCACATCCATTCTCATGATCACACATTGGATTCATGACTACGAAGTTCGGATCTGCTGGGATGATTGGAATAGACGGCGTCATCGGGAATAATGATGGACGACCTTTATTTTGAACAAAAAGGTTTATTTTAATAAGTAATTCAATGATATACCTTTTGTACAGCATATGTCAATCATCAGAACTGAACTGAAAAGACAGAGAGATCCTCGTCGACATGGCCGTTGACGAGAGCAGCGAACAGGATCACCGGATCGCGTCAATACTCTATAAGGTGAGAATATTAGTTTGAGCTCAAAATATTCTTCTGCAGTCTTACGGTGAATGTTCATCTCCACACATTTTTGTCATCAAGTTTAGTAGAGATGACGACGTTGGTTTCGATTCTTCTTCATCGTCTTTGAATACGCAGCATATAGAGGCTCCGGATCCAGTAAGAACACATTTCTCGTTTTCTTCAATAAGTATTTTGTTTTTGGCAAGTGGTAGATGGCTCACCAGCACATGATGGACGTTTGATCTCGCAAAATTGAGGCCAATCCTCAGGATTTCTAAAAGGAGATGGGCACGTGAAGAACGCTTTATCAGAGACTCCGATGGGCAAAGGACGAATGGTACTATTTCTATTTCTAATTATAATGGGAGCGAGAGTTGATATTTTTGAAATCATTCGTTTTGTTGATGCTTCAGTTGTTGAAGAGGGTTCAGGAGTTGTAGGTGTTAAACACATGGTCATGCAGGATTCGTGATCAATAAAAGTGTTTGCTGATGGATTACATCCTCGGTAGTCAAACTCCTGACAACCTTTAGATTCTACATCGTAGAAGTAACTGAAAGCATCAGTGGCTTTGTGAGAATGAGACTTTCGAAAAAAAAACACACCGAGTTGATTGAATAGACTGACCAAACAGACATTCAGTTCCCATGAATGGTGGTTCCGTACAGGCAGTATCTTTAAAGTGTGTCATTGTAAGAGATCAACAATTCAGAAGAAAATACGTTTTGTTGGGCAGCAAACATCATCGTTGCAGTCGTAGCCGGGTGGGCAGGATTTTATTTTGCAAGAATATTGAATTCCGTCGATAGAGATTGGCAGCGTTCCCTCCTTGCAAACTGATGTGAGCTTCTTAGGAGAAGCACAACATATCCGAACAGAAGAGCTGAATGAAGTTGGAGTACACTGAAATTTATATATGAAAGACAGTGTGAAACTTGAATCATACCACGAACGGACTGGGACATGGCTGAAGTGCATGGCACTTCTGCGGATCCGATGTCTTTCCCTCCACGAATGCAACAAGATTGTTAGGACATTTATCTGTAATGAATGATGATCATTGATATTCAATGCAAATATTAAATTTGTCTCCAAGTGAAAGCTTCAACTAACATTTTGCTAGCGAAGGAGAAGCTGTTGTTGTGCTAGTCGGTTTCTCTCGGCTTAATGTTGGATGTGAGCAGCAGATTCCAACTCGATCAGAATCACGTCGAACACAGAAATGTGATGAAGGACATGGCTTATCTTGTGTACAAAAGATGCGCAAGGGATCTTCAAATAGAGAATGAGTGTAAACAAAAACAAAAACAAAGACAATAGAGAGAAAGAGGTAATGATAGTAACCTTGTTGAGATCCGCGAGGACATTTGTCAACTGTTACAGTTTTGCGATTTTCACGTCGACAACACACAAACCTATTCTGAACGAGATGATTGAAGATGAAAATAAAAAGCTGAAAATGGATGAAAAACCTTTTTCTCGCTGAAAAGGCAAACAGATTGACGACGATGATCACAAGTTTCTCGATCAAGTGGCGAACACTCAGGTTGTCCTTCTGATAGCTCTTCGTCATATATGAACGTTGGTGGGCATACTGCAAGATCAATATATATACATAATTAATTAGTTATATAGTTGAAAGTAACCATTATCTAAGTATTGGCAGCAAACTCCGCTTCTGTACCGGTCAGGACGATGGCACTTGGAGTTGCGTGGGCATTGGTCATCTGATGAACAACCCTGAGGATCTCCTGTTGTTTGAATTCTCGAAATTTTCGATCCATCAGGGCATGTAGCTGTGAAAAAATTTTTTTTATTCTCTAACAAGTACGTTAAGAGCTTACCTATTGAAATATCCTCTGCACAACAATAGTAATTGTTCTTCTGTTGATTCAATAAGCAATGAAATCCGATTGGACATGAAGTTTTGAGATTTGGATTACAAGTCATAGGTTGTTGCGTTCTATAGTCTATGAATGATCTTTGACCTATTCTGCATACACCTGAAAGCTTTGAATTGAACAATCTTTCTAAGGTCGAACAAATCACCAAAGTTCTGTGAGCCACAGCAGATGCGCCTTGCAGGGTTCCAGACGTCTCCCACGCAGGAATAGCCTCTTGGACAAGACTTCGTTGAACAATCAAATATTTCTGATGATGTCGTTGTTTGATATATCACTTCAGAAGCCGCACAAGCTGAACAAAGTTCAATGTTAGTTGTTTCATATTTGGTTTCGACGATGAAGAACGAACCTGCGCTTTGACAGAAGTTGAAGCAAGCCATCTTTGATGGAAAGTTATTCGAGTTTCCACCACACCCTAAGAAAGAAAACGGCCGGCAAACTAGCTGATTAGGATCGAATACATATCTGAGAAGAGGTTAGATGACAGCCCTTCAACCATATGAAACGAACCTTCTTATTGGCTGCTTTGTACATGATTCACCTTCGTCAAAGTTTTCACGGCAGATATGCTGTCTGGTTGGACAGCAAATGTTTACTTGATGGGATGATTGCTTAACTATATGATAGAGAAAGATGAAGCTGAGATATGCAAACCGATTGAGTACAATGATGAGTCGATGGGCATGAATTATCATTATACTGACAGAACACCAGTTTACCATAATCATCAACTAAGCCACTACCTCCATCTGGACAGTCTGAACGAGAAGATTCCTTCCCTGGACATAATGGAAAGAAAGGATTACCTGACTTATGGCAAAAGTCTAAACATTCTTTTTGTGAAGCAAAGTTGTTAGCATTGCCATCACAACCGTTGTATGAGAAGGAGGAGCACTGGCCAGATGAGTAATACCATCTGATAGAGCTTAGACTACTACACTTCGTACCGACATCTATATTCTGTCGACAAATGAAATCTGTAACGATGTAATGGCTTTAAATCTCTCTTTCGTGATACGAAAAACCTTTTGTAGGACAGCAACCGTAGTTCTTATCGTCGAAGTAACATTCATAATCTGCCGGACAGTTACCGTTTTCAGCTGTTTGCCCACATCTCCAGTACCGTCCAGATTCCAATTGTAATGCTTTACCAATCAAGCATTTGGGTTCAGCTTCAATCATTATCACTAGATATACTTTGTCGAAACAGTTTCTTACGTTCAACGCTTGCACAATGCTTCTGGCAAATTTCAAAAGTTAAGAAGTTGTTCGTGTTTCCATGACATCCCTGATACTCAAACTCTTGGCATGATCCCAAAGCGGCATTAAACCAAAATCGTTTTGAGGGTGTGGATGAGCAGGAAATCCCCGTAGATATTGGTTGGTTACAGACTGTTCCTGAACGTTCATCTTCATTCACGAACTATTTTTAAATATTATTTTTGTTTGTTTATCTCAAAAATGAAAAGAAGGAGACCTTGTGTTGGACAACAGACTCCTTTTGTACAAATGTGACTTCGTGGACAATGTGTTTGAGTTGAACAAGCTATCGATTGACCATTTCCATCTTTCAATGGATATCCCAATGAACAAACAGCTTCAAATAAGTTTTTCTTCGTGTGAGAACGGTGGATAGAGAAAGCCTACTTGGTGCACAGAACTCTTGGCATTGCTCCAAACTGAGGAAGTTATTGAAGTTTCCACCTTGTCCAAAGTACTTGAACGTTAAGCATTGTTTCAAGTTAGAGTCCCAATACCATCTTAGCATATGTACTATGATTAGACGAAAGAGTGAGAAATGGAATACCTTGTTAAAGGATGAGTACCATGTCGATAGGATCCAGATGAATAAGGAGCTACAGGAGAGGGAGCCACTATAGAGATAGTCTCTTGTACTATAGCTCCATCTAATGAACATATGAATTCTGAAGCAAAAGGTAAATAAGTCAGAACAGAATCTTCAACCTGCTGTAGGACAGCACATGTTGTTCCCGTTAATATGAATACATTCGAAACTATCATCACATCCGCTTGTACTGGATGTACACGATACAATCTCTGATGCCTGTCCATCCAGCTTATTCGAAGGTAGAAGCTGTGGTTGTCCTCTGGCACATCCTTAAACGAATATATTCATTATCATAAGCATGAATAGAATATTATAAGAACTAACTATGTTTACAGTATGATTCACAGTGTTGAATCGTTAAAAAGTTATTTGAATTTCCGCCTTCACCCGTATATTGGAATGGCTGACATGACTGAGTTATGGAGTTATAAAACCATCTTGAGAACATGGTTATTGATTGATTTGTAAATGATATTCCTGTATCTAATGGTTGGATACATGTTAATGCTGAAAATAGTATTTTGAAAACCGAAGATGCAACCGACTCATCATGTTGATCTCTTTGAACCTGAGGTCTCCCTTCCATCTCTCCCTCTCTCTCTCTCTCTATCTCTTTCCCTCTCTCTTTCCATCTCAGCATCATTCATTACCTCTCATCTTATTTATCTAAGCATTTGTTAATCATTAAATAACTTATTAACACATCCTTATAAGTTTATGTAAATATGTAAATAAAATCTTTTGCAAACGAACGAAGAACACTTGGGGGAAGATGAAGCCTCTCAGGTTACTTTCTTTTTTTTTTTTGGTATTCAAGTAAGAAAATATTTCTGCACAAGGTGTTTTTCCGTCTTTTCACACTTCCATACTCACCTCTTGATGGACAGCATATACCATCGATGCAATCATGAAGCTCTGGATAATCGTCACAACCTATGAAACGACTTCCACCTTTTATCTGAAACAGCCAATCAGATCATATATGGTAATGAAGAGAATGAAGCTCACCTCTCCATCAAAGTAATGACACTGGGATGGAATGTTTCTGTTTCGATTATATAAAACACCGTTCAATCCATTCGTGGGACATTGACCTATAAGCATGGTAAAATGAGATGTTTTTATCTTGAAGATAGCTGTCACCTGGTGGATGACAGACTGATCCTTCTCGTGTAACAGCTAACAATGTATTTGGTGGACATTTACAAATGGAGTATTGACAAGTAGTTCCTGGCCAGACAGCTTCACACTGATCATCGTACGTACAGCCAGCCTCTTCTGGTCCCAGTTCTTAAATGAATTGAATGAATGAAGAAATGAAAATCGTCAAATGATATACTTTTCCAGCAATATCGTTCAATTGCAATATGGGATGGCAAGCATCGACAGAAAGAACTTTCACAGTATGCTCCCTGTATACAATCTGTATGCGTTGAGCAACGTTCTGACACCCGTGATGAAGCTTTAATTAAGTAATATAGTAATATTGATCAGTCTAGTCGATCTATACCAGAAGCTGTTGGTTGAAAGATTTCAGCATCTTCCTCAACTGTGAACTGACAGAAGCTATTTGTTATCAGCAAGAAAGAAATGAATGTTTTCATCTTATCATTCCTGATCACTTCTTAAGAACTAAATTATGCAAAATACTGTTTGAAGAAGGAATCTGTAAATGCAAGAGACTGTTTTCTGATGAAACCATGAAGCGAGGTTAAAGCATTAGAAGAAGAGAAGTGGATGTGTGATAGAGAAAGCTCATCATATGAGTTTTTGAATGGAAGATATTCACTTTTAAAATACATATGAAGAAGTATACATCAACCTAAAACGAAATGAAAACTTTAATTTCAATTGAAATAAGATGAAAAGGAGAAGAGAGAGAGAGAGAGAGACCGATTAAGGGAGGGAGTAACAGTAGGGAGATATGTTGGACGTAAACGTACACGTACATCTTCCGTCTTTGGAGAGAAAGATACGTGAGAGGATAGGAGAGGCGCGAACAACTCAAGTGCTTTCAAAATATACAAAGGGCCAAATACACCACGCGAGGACTTTTTGTAAATAACGATATATCCAACCAATTTTGAAGATATATTCTCTGAGAATACAGAAGTTTTTTGATTTTCCTTCTCTCACACACAATGTTGTCGTCTGTTGGTTGAACAGACTGTGGTGTGGTAGTACACAGTCATGTTCACTGTTTGAAGTTTGAGAGAAGTTTCTCATTTCAAAGATTATATAACATCGTTGTCACGAAATCTATCGTCTCACAAGAAATGCACTGATATGTTTTCAATTGATTAATTGCCAGACAAACGATCACTAACTTTTTATTTCAAAAGTTTAAATTATTTTACACACAGCCTACCGCTCAATACTGCTTGTAGGATATGAAGTGACGGCGCACCTTTGAGGTCATATGCGATTTTCTGCATTTCTCACCAAGTTTCTTTATTCTGTCTTAACTCAAAAGTATGTCTCAAGTAACGGTAAACTTGACGGTTCCGTATGAAACGCCGTATGGAAATGACTCTGTGAGGAATGACTAGCATTCGAATTAACAAATGAATCCTAACGAGAATGTTAGAAGCAGATATTTGGTATAACCTTTTCTGATACTTGGATAGTGGAATCCCAGCTGTTCGCACTATTGAAAGTTCAAATGATTTTACATAGCCTACTGCTCAATACTGCAAGTAGAATATGAAGCTATCTATCCAGGATATTGAAAAAAAGCTAAAAATCATTCTTGTTCTTGTGAGAATAATGGTCCGAATTGAAAATGTTACGGTTCATCAGTGCTGAACAACTGGTGGTCAAGAGTATTCTTCTGAGTTAACACAAGCAGAAATGTCATCTTCATTGTCAGTTTGTTTTTTCAAGCTGGAAAGTTGATTTATCTCATTAACTTATGTTGAAATTACTTTAAATTAGCTTTAAAACCTAAAATTTCGTTGAAAAGCCAATTTCCCCGAAAGTTCTAGAAATGCAAAGCGTACGATGTACGGCGCAATAGTCTATAAGTACGTACCATTTTTCAGTTTTGTCAGGCCCGACGGGTCGGTTCCCAAGCGGGAGGCAAACCTATGACACTCAGTTTCGTATTTTTTTGAATTTTTGAAGATTTTCTTTCAGCTAAATCGCTTCAGGACCATTAAAATTCGAAAAAAGTGAAATTTTAAAATTTTTTTTTCCTTATTTTTTTTTTTAAATTTAATTTTCTTCGTTTCTTCATGCTTTTCTTTGGGATTTTTTTAAATGTAATGTGCAAAACACATGTTGATGACCATTTTTGTATGGAATTCAGAGGTTTTCGCTTGTTGTTCATCAATTGATGGGTCTGGTACGCTGATCTAGATATCCGAGGAACTGTTCTTGAACTAAGTAGGTGATTAACCAGAGCACCGGAAGTTTTTTGTTCTGTCAAGTCGAACTTGTCTCTTTATAGTGGGTAATATCATAGTGCAGCTTTGTTTTTTTCAAAGAGATTTTTAGTTCTCAATATCCTCTTCGTTACGTTTTTCTTTTCTGAAGTTGTCATCATACACTTCTTCATACGCTTGTTCTCCACCTTGTGTCATATCCGTTAATCTGTTTTGAAATGTTCCTTTTTTTGGATTCTTTTGGTGCCTTGAGTTATCTATTTCGTACTTCTTTCTAGTTCTGAGAAATGGCGATTCGGAGGGGTTGATTGAGAAATCACTTGAGGAAGAGATGATTTCAAAAGAATTTATGAAGAATAATTATCTTTTTCTCCTTTTAATTAAATTAGTTTTTATTCTTAAAAAGTCTCAATCTCAACTTCAATCCATTCAGGCAGAGTAAGTCTCGACTTACTGTTCCAGAAAGATCGCGGAGGTTCCTCCGTAGTTTTCTCACCTAGGTTTCTCCTCTTTCTCATATGAACTCTTCAATCCCAAGTCTAAACTGCGCTATATTCATTCCTAGAATATCGTGTGCATCATCATCATTGTTTCGAATAACTACTAAGCGTTCTCACTCGTTGATATGGATCAACGCCTGCTGGTTGCTACTCGAAAGAAAACTTACGTTATTGTAGTTTGATGATTAATTTCGATCTCTCGCTTGTTTCACATTGGACGGAACTCCCGCCAATTTTCCTCCTGGTTTGTTCAGTGTTGCTGTGTGTGCGGACTGTGAGAGGTTGTCTTGGTCTATTGCACTGTAGTTATGAGAGATTTTGATTTTTTCTGCTTTATTTCGGTTTAGATCAGTGAATGTAAAAAAAAAAGGTGAGAGAATTGACGTTGTTTGTGGTGACAGTTTCCTACCCCTCGTTGTACGAGTTGTCTCGCCTTTAGAGTTTCCCACCACTCGTTGTACGAGTTGTCTCGGCTTGAGAACCCTGGTTAACAATTTTGTAATTTTTTAATTTCTGATTTGGTTATCACACAGCCTGTTCGTTGTATGAGCTCTGATGCTCGTTAATTTAAGAAATTGGTTTATTAGAGGTTTTTTGAAGAATTTCATAGCTGAGAGAGAAGTGGAGAGTAGAGCATGAAAGAGAGAGAGACGAGCAGAGCGTGAAAGAGAGAGGGACGAGCAGAGCGTCTCTGCTGAGACGACTTACAAATTGGTTTTGAGTTTGCTTAGTATTTGAGAGTTCAGTTGGCTACTTCCATAACTGTTTTTGATATTTAAAAGGAATTGGTTGTGTTGAAGACCTTGTTTGTTGAAGTCTGATTCATACCATTCCTAAGTGATATGTCAGTGAACCATCTTCGCCTTGAGTTCCGAGATTTCCTGAAAACCCTTATCTTCTCCAGAGCCACGGATCATCTGGGGAACATTCGGGAATTCGGTGAAGTAACTCGAACATCTGAAATGACATTAGGAATACTTGACTGGAAATGAATCCAAAGTAGATACACATAAGACATTGAAACAGACAAAACAACATTGAAAAGGGAGTTGGCAGGACTTAGGGG